AGTCTGGTGCTCTACCGGCTGAGCTAACGGGGCTTACTGCTGTCTCTTCAGAGTATATTCAAATTCGTATTTTGCACGTGAAATTTCAGAAAATAGGTTGTCGGTGGGAAAACGGCTGGCATGTGCCGACACTGAGGGTTACCCTAAAGGGATCAACCAACAGCAAAAGTGAAGCCCGATGCGGGGCTCGAACCCGCGACAGCCAGATTAAGGGTCTGGTGCTCTACCGACTGTGCTAACCGGGCTTACTGCTGTCTCTTCAGAGTATATTCAAATTTGTATTTTGCACGTGAAATTTCAGAAAATAGGTTGTCGGTGGGAAAACGGCTGGCATGTGCCGACACTGAGGGTTACCCTAAAGGGATCAACCAACAGCAAAAGTGAAGCCCGATGCGGGGCTCGAACCCGCGACAGCCAGATTAAGGGTCTGGTGCTCTACCGACTGAGCTAACCGGGCTTACTGCTGTCTCTTCAGAGTATATTCAAACTTATTTTGCACGTGAAATTTCAGAAAATAGGTTGTCGGTGGGAAAACGGCTGGCATGTGCCGACACTGAGGGTTACCCTAAAGGGATCAACCAACAGCAAAAGTGAAGCTCGATGGGGCTCGAACCCGCGACAGCCAGATTAAGAGTCTGGTGCTCTACCGACTGAGCTAACCGGGCTTACTGCTGTCTCTTCAGAGTATATTCAAATTTGTATTTTGCACGTGAAATTTCAGAAAATAGGTTGTCGGTGGGAAAACGGCTGGCATGTGCCGACACTGAGGGTTACCCTAAAGGGATCAACCAACAGCAAAAGTGAAGCCCGATGCGGAGCTCGAACCCGCGACAGCCAGATTAAAGGCAGCGTCCACCCAGAATTTAACCCCCCATGCTTTCTTCATTCTGGGGACTTTCCGTGGTCCTGATTAAAGTTCCGAACTTCAAACTCGCTAAAATTCACAAAAAACCCGATTCTTGGGGCCCAGTCTTGAGGGCGCGGACGAGTTTCGAATTGCTCGTTCCCGTTGGTAGGCCAGCGGGAAGGAGCTGCAACTGCATGGGTGCGGTTGAATTGCAGTGTGCAGTGTGCAGCTTCTGCTCACTACCTTGTCAATACGTTTCGGGAGGCACGTATTAACAAGGTAGTGAGCAGTCCCTGGTGGGCGGAGACTGATATCAGACTCTTTCAGGCCCCTTATCTCCATTCAGAGACAACATTAGAAGACCGGACCAACGCAGATGCCCCTTTTCTGGGGCCTACATTCAGGATCGACACTAATCGGAGGGGGTTATGTTTAGCCTGGACACTGCCTTTAAGAGTCTGGTGCTCTACCGGCTGAGCTAACCGGGCTTACTGCTGTCTCTTCAGAGTATATTCAAATTTGTATTTTGCACGTGAAATTTCAGAAAATAGGTTGTCGGTGGGAAAACGGCTGGCATGTGCCGACACTGAGGGTTACCCTAAAGGGATCAACCAACAGCAAAAGTGAAGGCCGATGCGGGGCTCGAACCCGCGACAGCCAGATTAAGAGTCTGGTGCTCTACCGACTGAGCTAACCGGGCTTACTGCTGTCTCTTCAGAGTATATTCAAATTTGTATTTTGCACGTGAAATTGCAGAAAATAGGTTGTCGGTGGGAAAACGGCTGGCATGTGCCGACACTGAGGGTTACCCTAAAGGGATCAACCAACAGCAAAAGTGAAGGCCGATGCGGGGCTCGAACCCGCGACAGCCAGATTAAGAGTCTGGTGCTCTACCGACTAAGCTAACCGGGCTTACTGCTGTCTCTTCAGGGTATATTCAAATTTGTATTTTGCACGTGAAATTGCAGAAAATAGGTTGTCGGTGGGAAAACGGCTGGCATGTGCCGACACTGAGGGTTACCCTAAAGGGATCAACCAACAGCAAAAGTGAAGCCCGATGCGGTGCTCGAACCCGCGACAGCCAGATTAAGAGTCTGGTGCTCTACCGACTGAGCTAACCGGGCTTACTGCTGTCTCTTCAGAGTATATTCTAATTTGTATTTTGCACGTGAAATTTCAGAAAATAGGTTGTCGGTTGGAAAACGGCTGGCATGTGCCGACACTGGGGGTTACCCTAAAGGGATCAACCAAAAGCAAAAGTGAAGCCCGATGCGGGGCTCGAACCCGCGACAGCCAGATTAAGGGCCGCATGCACTAACATCCCCGCGTGGAGGGGATCGCAGATTAAAAGAAAGTTTTATATTTTGAAACTTCAGGTACCTGGATTACACGTTGTGTACCTATCCGTAAGTATTCCTACTACCCTTCACTATGAACATGTTGAACAGGAGCGAGAAGCTGTACGAACCGCATTTTCCAGCTTTTGTATGATCTCTGATGATCCCCGGCGCTTTTCTTTAAAGTCATTTTTCTTTCTCCGATGTTAACGAAAAACCTCCAAACTTGTGCAGATTATCTAACTCGACATTGCTAAGCGTGTTGCTGATAAGAGCAAATGATGTTTTGAAGTCATGAGATTTTCGATGATCCACAGGTCGAAATTTGAGGTTTACCGAAAAACTCGACTTTTCAAAAACTCATTTGTTCTCATCAGCAACATGCTTAGCACTGTTGTGTTAGATGTTCAGTACAACTTTGGAAGGTTTTCGTTAACTATGGAGAAAGAAAAATGACTTCAAAGAAAAGCGCCGGGGATCATCAGGGATCATACTAAAGCTGGAAAATGCGGTTCGTATAGCTTCTCGCATCTGTTCAACATGTTCATAATGAAGGGTAACAGGAGTACTTACGGATAGGTACACAACGTGAAATCCAGGTATCTGGAGTTTCGAAATATAAAGCTTTCAAGCTGCGATCCCCTCCCCAGCGGGGAGGTTAGTGCATGCAGCCCTAAGAGTCTGGTGCTCTACCGACTGAGCTAACCGGGCTTACTGCTGTCTCTTCAGATCAAATTTGTATTTTGCACCTGAAATTTCAGAAAATAGGTTGTCGGTGGGAAAACAGCTGGCATGTGCCTACACTGAGGGTTAAGTTGGCGAAGTTTATTCCAGGAAAGTTCCGCAAAGATTGTGGTGTAAGATATCTCGCAGATCAGTTCTCTGTTCAAATTCAAAATCATCTTTCGACTTCAAAATTTGATGATCTTCGCAAAGAAATGGTTTAGTTAAAGGAATGGCTGCTGCCTAACACACTTTCAATCTTGCATTCTTCAGAGCATTGAGAGATTTTTTGTAATATTACACCCAAAATACTGCGCCTTATTGAGAGCAATCCTAACGCAAACTTGCGAACTCTCTTTCACTTTCTACTCCGTGCGAATTTAAAGAAATTCTTGAATTCTAGCAAAAATGAGGATTGAAGTCCACATTTCTCGATCCAATTCCTTCGCTTGCTGCATGGAAATCGGTAACTAGTGAAGCTAGAATAGAAACAAACTAATTAGATGAAATCTAAGTTTTGTTTTCGAGGTATTTACACCTCCAAACGGTGTTATTGTGCCGCCTTCCATAACAAGCGAGTTCAAAACCCACTCTCTTCGTTGTCACTAGTGGGCCAATAAAAACGACTTCGCAATTGAAAACCAATGTGCTCACACGATGCTATTCGTTCGTAGATTGGGCGAGTTCCGATCTAAATCTATGCATAGGGGCCCGATGTTTGTTCAAAAAGTTATGAAAATATGCCATGGTATTGCGAAGTATGCGATGGCGAGGAATTCCGGGTAATATACGAATTATCGTCAAAATACAAGCCATTTCGGATTCCGATTGTGTAATCATAATTTTGTGTAGCTGATAGCTTTTATAACTTCGCCATCATTTCTCAGAGGGCTTCTCGTCCCGTGCCGTCAAAAAAGCGTACAATCCAATGTTTTATTATTTTTCACAAACTTTATAATGCATAAACAAATTATTCAGAGCAACTCAGAAAAGGAAGTTCGACGATTCTGTGAGCAACGTACCCGTAATGAAGTGTTACGTAGTAGTATTGCTTACAGGCATATATAATTAATACTGAAAGAGCAACAAGATATAAAGCGCTACGTTAAGGCTAAGGAAACCCGTAAAATGGAGAGTTAGCATGAAGGAGGAACAAAGCACAAAGATGGAACAAGCTTTATGTTAGAATGAACAATATTATGAGTTTTGGCTTAGGACGGTTGCCTCAAAATGAGTGCATTTTACGTTGCCTCTAACTTTTAGCACTGTATATGGAAGCCTCGTTTTGGACTGTTAATAACACATCATGTCCGACGTCTGCAAAACGATTCTTTCAAAAGATTTATAAAGGCATTCGCCTTCGGAAGTGGCGAGGAGAGATTCACCTGAAGCGAATAGAAGATATTACATAAGGTGTTAACTATGGTGAAAGCGCTAGTCTGTCAAGGCAAAATATCACAGGTTCAATTGCTGGTAAAGCAGAAAATTTTGTTTTTTTCTAATAAACCGTTCTTTTGTTTAGCGCACTGTCCACAGGACGTAACATTGACACTGACAATAAAGGAAATAATGTATCTCGATGTAATCTGACTTCTATACCAATTCACTCCTCGCCAATTTTGAGGATAAATGATTTCATAACTTCTTTCGAAAAATCGTTTCGCAGAGACGAATATGATTTGCGATCAGTTTCCGGAACTATATTCATCATATGCTGAAAGGCTGAGGTCACCAAAAGTACGTCCCTTGTTAGTGCTACCATTACCTGTTTTTTAGACAAGCATGATTGAGCCTAACCTATATAAATTTTTCAAGTAGATATCCATCGTTAGAAGGTATTCCCGTCAGGTTTGAGATACTAATTTTGATGTAAAATAGTGGCTAATGGCCCCTCTGACATATTGCCAAGTTAGTCCGCAGAGCAAAAAAAGTTGATGAACCCGTTCGCAATGATGGGACCACTGCCGTAATAAAAAGACATGCATGAGTTTGAGTACAAGGGATTTTCAACTGCTAGATATTTTCGAAGGCGCCTCCCTGCTGAACTTCGCTGGTGCCGTTCAGCTTTTTCCGAACCGTCTTTAAGTAGATTTCTACATGCTCGTTTCTTCCAAGTGACAATGTTTGCGGTAATAGTATTCTGCTAGTTCATATCGGGCCCAGCGTTGGTATAGCACCCCTAAAAGCGGATGCTGAATTGAAATGTACATGGAGTGATGGTGTAGCCTACCCAGGTTCGCGTGATACATAGCATTCGAAGGACTAAGTTGCAAGACTCTCTTGAAATGCCGTTCTGCTTCCACAAAGCTACCATTTTTCCCGAGGCAAGTGCCCACTTGAAATGCTATTGCAGCCACGTTCCTCAACATGGTTTCTGGTAGAGTTTTTGCAGCTTCGAGCACATCATCGCATCGTTCAAGCTCATCCAGTAGCACCAATAGATTGGTCACTGCTTGGTTGTGGTTGCTATTAAGCCTGAAGGATGAATGTTAGATGTAGCTCTTATTTTTAGCCGGTACTTGAATGGTGAGATCTCATGCCAGAAAATTTTCAGCTTAATTTAGCTCCTTTTTACCTCGTTGCGTTACTCCATGATTCTAATGCACACAGTGGTTTTCCTAATCGTTGATACAAGTTACCCAAATTGAATATACAATCAACGTTATTTGGCCGAAGTTGCAGAGATTTCCGGTATGCTTCTAGCGATTCCTAAAACGTCGAATTCACGTGCTGGACAAAAGAGATGGTCATATTCACCTGGTATTTTCCCTGGTTCATCAGGGTTATGCCAAGATTCATCCAAGCTACTGCGAAAGTCGGTCTTTTACGAAGGGCTTGTTTTAGCAGATGCTCTGCGTCTGCGCTTCTTCCTTTGGATTCCAGAACATTTGCGAGGTTATTTAGAGCATGTTCGTAGTTTGGATTCAAGCTAAAACAACATTGCGGCTTGCAACAGGCTTAGGTCTGGACCCTGCTTACCGTACGGCATTCCAATAGTCATGCTCGGCCGCTTCAACGTTTCCTGTTTTGCTCAACACCTTTCCCAGATTGTAGTGGATCTTTGCATTTTCTGGGCAGACCCTTAAGCCACTGGTGTAAAGATCCAATTCAGTGCGCCACTCCTCAGATCTCTGTAACGATATGATACGTCAAGCAAGAGCAGTAAATGTACACTGCACATACCTGGTATGTCATTTTCATAGCGATTACGAGAACTGCTAAGCAGATTTTGTCCATGTTACGGTAGTATCGTGACGCTCGTACATAAACGACGGCTACCATTATACACAAACCAGCTGAAGGCAGATATAGCACTCTTTCGGCTACAGTGAATCCAACAGTAATCAGCAAATTACTAGCAGGAAGGAAACCAATTCCGCCAACGACAGCGCCAAAAATAAAAAGCCTACAAAAAAAAAATGCTTATAGATCGAAACGAAATCATCGCTTAAACGAACCTATTATTGTAATTGTAAAGGGCATAAAGGTTAACGACTAACATAAATGCCATTGCAGGTAAGGACAAAACACGGTAATCACTCCAAGCAGTGATTGGTGGGATGCAACCCATACTGTAGTCAAAGCAGAGCGAGTACGGTAACAGCAGCAATCGAAGATTGATCAGCCATATGTATGAGTAGGAAGCCATCTGCAAACAGTTCAGGGTTTTGCAATGTAAGTAACTGTCTAAGATGTACCCTCCTCTTATAGCTCAATGGCAGTGTCTGGACTGATTCTCAATTTCCGTTTTTGCCATATTCAGGCATTTATGGCTCTGTTTCCAAATTTCGGACTAAAAAGGCATAACCTCCCGGGAAATGCCTTTATTGGGCTATTTTGTAAAACCGTGGACGAGTACCCCTGGCGCTATCCTTGCTGCAAGTGACGTAAACATTATGTGCGCGGCGGTGCTTAGAAGCTTTTTTGCGGAGTACCTCTCGATTGAGACCTTAGTACTAGAATATGGTAGCAGACAAGACAGTTCATATCTGTCTGGACGCTGCCATTAAGCACGCTCAAACTCTCTCTGAGTAACCGGTGGAACTGAAGGCGCAAATGCGGTATTGTTCTAACCATTTCGCCATATTAGTATGCCATTGGTACTCACTCTCAAGAGCGGATCCTTGACAAATGCTGCTGGATTGTCCAATTCGGTGAATTTTGGTGTGGTAAAGTTATTGATATACACCCGTACGAGTATCACTGTTAAAGAAAAAAAGAGCAGCATGGAGCACCGCAAAACTGCAGCTGCATGATTCCTTTTGGTGTGGAGACAATAGAGAACTTCCAGAGAAATGCAGATTGGCTAAAATCCTCATTTTTAGCTTCCAGTTCAAGCACCGGAGCTGTGCGACGCACTAATACAGTGATGCCCTGTTCCTTGCTGAACACTGCCATCACCACCAAAAGGAAAGGCGATATGTTCAGTCCACATTCCGGGTTTTCTCGAACGTGCTTCTGGTAGCATATTAGTGCAAGTAGCGAAAAAGTGCTCATAAGAAGCTCAGCTCTGCCAGATATGTTTGCTACCTAAAATTGTTGTTTTCGCAAAAAAATTAATTGTATTGGAAGGGAAATTATTTAGGCACAGAAGACGCTTTACTTACAGCTTCGCTGTGGACAGGATGTACGGCAAAGAGTGCTGCCGCGACGAAAGCTTCGTCGGAGATGAAAGACTTTCCGGTAGCATACCGTAACTCTTTCACGAGAGAAAAGACCAGCACTGACGCTAAGGCATGTAGAGCGATGTTGATTAGATGATACGGTAGTGTCCATTCGTCATGAAAACGGTAGTTCAACCTAAAAGATTGTTAAATATGTAGCACACCTAGCTTTGATAGCAGCCCGCGTCCAAACTGCAAAGAAAAAGAAGAAGAAAAACATAATTCGTTTTCAATTTTAATTTCTTTCACTGGATACATCTAAGAATAGACTCTCTCGAAAGAGATTGCTTGTGCTGTACAAGAATGTTTGTCTCCGTCTGATAGTGCATTCTATAGTAAATTTATCATAGTACCAGTAAGGATTAGAAGATGTGCTATTAGTCGCGAAGGTGCTAATTGTTGGTTAGGAACAGCAGAAGTGCAGGCGACAGATGCGCGGACGATTACGATTACTAGCAGATTTGCATAAGATGCGCAACAATGAATAGTCTGTGCTTGACAGTGCGCGCATTCATTCACTGTATGGTCTCGTGAGGTTGTTTGTCGTTCTGTTTGGGAGGAGGATGGGTCAAGTAGGAAGTATGGAAGGAGGATGGTTGATATACGAGAAAATTTCTTTGAAAAAAGAAAGGCTAGCAGGCATTAATATACAGGGTGTCCCAAGAAGATGTGCACACTGTTTAATCGTTAATAACTCTCTTGCTTTCATGTCATTTGCTGAGCTTAAGGTAACATTCTTGAAAGCGAGGTTTAACTTAAAGTTACAGTATGGAGCGCTACGGTAGGAATTTCGAGGAGGATTCTAAGCCATTGAAAGTGGTATTTCGCCTCAGAAAGAAAGCCAAACAAGCCAGATACTCTTAAACTGGGTTAAAGGCAACGGCTCGGCAGAATGACAACTTTGAAATATTCATCAGTCTTAGTTCCCCTAAATAAGCTAAATCCTAAGACTGTGCTTTGCAGCTTCAGAAGATATCAATAACCCGCTTTTCCATACGAAAAACGCTAGCTGAGGGCGGACCGCGTATCTGCCCTTTAGAGAGCGATTGACTCGTGAGTGGAGATACTGTACTCACCGTACCCACGAGCCAATCGCGCTCTAGAGGGTAGATACGCGGTCCGCCCTCAGTTAGCGCTTTTCGTCTAAGAAAGCGGGTTATTGATAACATTTGAAGCTGCAAAGCACAGTATTGGACTTAGCTCATCCACGGGAACCGAGAATGATAAGTATCTCAAAGTTATCATTCTGCCGAACCGCTGCCTTTAACTCAGTTCAAGAGTTTCTGGCTTGTTTGGCTTTCTTTCTGAAGCAAAATACCACTTTTAATGGCTTAGAATCCTCCTCGAAATTCCCGCCGTAATCCTACAGTAATGAAGAGCTGCTGATAAGTCGCTCCATACTGTAAGTTTAAGTTAAACCTCACCTTCAAGAATGGTACCTTAAGCTCAGCAAAAGACATGAAAGCAAGAGAGTTATTAACAATCAAACAGTGTGCACATCTTCTTGGGACACCCTGTATGTATATTAGTCATTCTTTCCATAAATCCTTGCGAAAGCGAATTCGTACTGAAACTTGCGAGCTCTTCGTTAATGCAGAAATCCTTCGGGACCAATTTATACGCTAACCTAAATGTGTGAGTGTCGAATTACTTGTACGACGGCATTTGCATGCACTTCCAGTAGCAACGACACTAAGCTTAAGCATTTGTATAGATGGTCAATCTGCATACAAATTCGTTTTCGGCATTCTAATGGCTTTGATGTAGTAATGAGCACATCAAAACTGGCAAGTGAGTTATGGTTGAAACCCACGCAGGTGTGTTCACAGCGAGGCAGAACATCTATTATGTCGTGTATACACAGCGCTCTAAAACACGATAGATGTGAAAATTTATGGAGCTGGTTATGCAGGACAATGTAGGCATGATGAACGACACAAATACAGCTGCTCTGATGGATGAGGAAAGACATGGACTGGTCAGCAAGGCGCCAGAAGCAGGGCTCGGCACAGGTGGCTTACCGGGCAAGCTAGATATCGTCTAGGAGGTCAAAAGCAAAGGGGATATCGTTTTTGCGGAAAAACATACCGCTGTCTTTCGATCTGCCGCCGGCACGCTGCCGGCATGCCGGCAGCATGGTCTCCCAAACAAATAAATGGCTTGTTTACAGCGAAGTGAAAATGAAATGACATTAAAATGAGTGTGTAGATGGGCAATGGGGGGATAGTAATGTGCAAAAAATTATGAAAAAGTTATGTGAACTAAAGTGGCGGCCAACTTTTTTTGGAGTTGGGTGGCTTTATAGCCACCTGTGGCCGTATTCATCAACGAACCCAAAGGGTTAAGCTTACCCCCCAGGGTTAGTTTAACCCTCAGGGTTCATTGGCCGTATTCATCAAGCATAGGCTAGGGTTTACCACGGAATGCGATCTACCCGTATCGATCAACGAACCTGTGGCCGTATTCATCAACCCTGAGGGTTAAACTAACCCTGGAGGGTTAAGGCGTCAGTTACGCGTGCGCTGTGCAAACTCACATCACAGAATGCCTAAGTACGGGCTAAATTCACTTTATACTTCTATTCTTTCACTGTTATAGTAGTGTAGTCAACGAATAAGCTTCTAACACTAGTTTTTATAATACATCTCTAACATACTTGTGCAGCATCCAATCTTACAGCGTGAGTTTATTTTCATGTGTGCAATTGTGCAGTGTTCTACTTTCGCGCAGTTCGTTTTATACCGGGCTTCTGCTACTCTTTTAGGGGTCAATGCGTGTTATTATAAAGTCAGTGTTTCATGTACTTCGAATATGAACATAAAACGAAGGGAACTAAATGCTATAACAACAACCAGTACTAAATACTACAATACTCGTTGATCGTTTCCCATAAACTATTAGATGCGAGTTAATATTTGTATGAAGTGTGAGGATAGAGTTAACCTTGCTCTGAGCTAGGGTTAAATTAACCCTGATGAATCACGTAAGTTTAACCCTCCAGAGTTAGTTTAACCCTCACGGTTCGTTGATGAATACGGGTTAGTCGCTTTCGGAATAAAATTAACCCTCAAGGCTAGATTTAACCCTCAGGGTTAAGCCTACCCTGTGTTTCATGAATACGGGTTAAACGCTTTCCAGGGTTAAACTAACCCTCCAGGGCGTTTGTTTCGTACCTTTTTGTTTGCTCTCGTATTCTTCTTTGCTATTTTTGCTCGTTTCATTCATGAACGGTCATAGGGGATGTCGTATGTTTGGGCGAAGTTAACGGGGGACTTCGTTTTCGAAAGAATGGAAAAGACACCTCGTGCTGAGCCCTGGCCAGAAGTGGTTGGGCTGGTATTATCCATTATACATAAAAACCGGAATTTTCCTTACTTCCGAAGTGGTCAAAACTAAAGCTAGCTATTCCAAACAAGCTGTAAATCATCGAACTCTCCTTGACACGCTGACTTTGATATATTTTTCAATATCTAACGAACGACTATCTGGAAGGAGTTACGATTAAATGTGAGGAAGTCCAGCGAATATAGTTCGTTGAAAGGCAGCTGATTGTAAGGGATCTACAGTGGCTATAATTATCTCAACTGCAGGAAAGAAGAAATGTTGTTGAAACGTATTTCGTGGAACGCATGGCGCCACAGATTACTTGACAAATGCGCACATTTGAACGCTCGTAACTCCTCCCTGATAGTCGTTCGGTAAAAAAATAAACATATATTTGAAGTCAGTGTTTTAAGGCGAGTCCGATGATATAGAGCTTGATTGAAATGGCTTGGTTAAGGTTTGACCATTCCTTGCTTAGCATTTTTTCACAGAACACAAAGATGTTCATCAAAGAATATGATGTTTACGCCATCCCACTAATCTCTTCACTCGACTTTATTCAGAAACCAATGGATAACAAAGACCGATCTTTGTTAATCCATTTTTCTTAAGTACCCAGGCCAAGGAAACATTCCCTGGCATTCTTCGATGCCAAGCGCCTGACAGATCGCGACCGTGCCAAGAATGATGATGTTATTTCCTCAGACAATCGACGGGACCCCTCCGCCGGACAGTCCGAAACTGCCAGAGTCGCGCCGGACCCAGTTGACCAATGAGAGAGGGGCAAATGGGCGGTCCATCGCGGTGACATCACTGGCAGGCAAGTGGGAGGCTTCTCCGGCCCTGCTGCAAAGGTCCGCCATTTCTCCGGCGCGACTCTGCCAGATTTGGCGGACTCCGCGCCGGAGAAATTTGCCCGGCGCGAATTCGCCAAATTTGGAAGAGCCGCGCCGGAGAAAAAGGGAGGGGTCCGGAGCAGAAATGGGAGGCCTCCGGAGCAGAAAATGGGAGGTATCCGGAGCAGAAAATGGGAGGTATCCGGAGCAGGCTGCGTATCGATTTGGCGCGTAGCAAGCAAACGTCTAACTCCACGGTGATGAGTCCTCTGTTTACGCTCTTTGTCCATATTTTAGGCGCCGTTTCTTTGATTTTGTTGTTTTTGCGCGTTTCTTTACCGTTTTTTTTCTTTTCCGCGTTGCTCTTCGTCGCGTTGGCGTTTATGTTGTTGTAAGTTCCTCGTTTTCAGGTTTATGTTTCAAATTTTCGTGCGGTTGCACTCAATCACCTTCAGTGTTTGGCTCTTTCCGACTTGCTGAGACATCGTAGACTATTGATGGAGTGGTTTTTGTGATTAATTCTGGATTTTCGAAACAATGAGGTTAGTTGCGCAACTATCTAGTGTTGTTGTGATGAAAGTATCGTCTAAATTATCCGTTTATTGCTACCTCTCTCGTACGTATGCTTACCAAGTCGATCGACTTTTCATCAGACGTTGCAGATCCTCACTATATCGTTTTTGGCTTGAAAGACAGGACAAGGCAAGAGATATGTTGACAAAAGTCTTAGAGGCAACTCCAAACGATGTTGAAGTTTTGATAGATCTTGCTCAGCTTTTGGAAGGAGTTGATCCGCATGTTAGTTTACATCATCAATTACATTTTACGAGTTTTGACAACCGGCTCTTCTAGAAATCGCTCACTCTCTATGAAAATGCTTGTGATCTCATAAAAACGAGTGAAGATGGTTTACAAATTGATCCGCCAGCTGCTATCTTAAACAATATCGGAGCCTTGCACATGACTTTGGAAAATTATGAAAGGGCGAAGGAGTACTTCGAAGCAGCGGAAGCTAAGCTCCAAGTAAGTTGCATGTGCTTAGCTTCGCTCATTCTCTTCGATCGTTACAGGAAGATTTGGAGGGAGATCTGTGCGATTCGAAACTTTCTTCCTATGTCATCACTATGAGATACAATCTCGCTAGATGTTTGGAACACTTGTGCTTGTTCGAAGACGCTGAAGTTTTATACAAAGGCATTTTGAGAGAAGAAGAAAATTACACGGATTGTAAGTTTTTTCAAATTAACATTCTGTGCACTCATTCTAGTGCATCATATTGCAAAGGTTATCTACGTCTCGGATGTCTTGCACGCGATCGAGGGCAGATTTATGAATCATCGGTGTGGTTCAAAGGAGCGATATCCGTTACTGTTGTATAGACCTCGACACGATACCCAATTGACATCGTGCGTCAAAAATGCGTACTTGATGTAAAGGCGGTGTACACTACTTACCTCAACCTGTAATTAATATTTTTTCAACTTGTACTTCCTCCCCATCTCTCTGGAGTTGGGAAAATGACTGAAGAAAGTATTGGTAAAACTGATTGATTTTAATTATCACTACTCGTGCTGAAATCTTATATCGTGAGGGTTATTTATCATGCTGATTCCAAAAATGGTACTCATTTTGCTTGATAGCCGTTCATCGATTCCCCATAGCTAAGTTTGGAGTTATTTGATGTGCCAAGTGGAAGTGCAGGTCAGAGGTAAGGAGGCTGTCTCTCCAGATTACTCACGTGATTACCGATGTTTCTAGATTGCCTATTCCAATTACTTTTATCACTTCTGACATTCACTGGTCTTTCGATGCTATCGTAGGTTCGAGCGCGTAAGAGGTAATATATGATGTTTGGTAAATTTTTTTTCAAACTAATCTATCAAATTGAAAGGTATTTTTATGACTTGGAAACTCGGAAGAGCAAGTTCTACCATTGTTTAGACATTATGTGCACAGCAGTCTCGAGTCTCCCATTCATAGAATAGATGATATGCGAAATGAGTATCATCTTTTAACTTGTGCAAAACAAACTAAACAGAATCTAAGCGATTCTGTTCAGTAACGGGCAGCTGCTGCAGCTAAAATAAACGACTATCGAGCAAAATGAGTACCATTTTCGGAATCAGCATGATAAATAACCCCCATGATTTAAGATTTCAGTACGAGTAGTGATATTCAAAATCAGTCAGTTTTACCAATACTTTCTTCAATCATTTTCCCAACTCCAGAAAGATGGGGAGGAAGTACAAGTTGAAAAAATATTAATTACAGGTTGAGGTAAGTAGTGTACGCTGTATTTACATCAAGTACGCATTTTTGACGCACGATGTCAATTGGGTATCGTGTCGAGGTCTATACGACAGTATGTCCGTTGATCAGAACAATGCCGATTCATGGGTGCTTATCGGAAATCTGCACATGTCTAAACATGAGTGAGTAATGAGCTTTGTTTTGCTTCTGATCAATCTTCTCACAGATGGGGACCTGGTCAAAAGAAATTTGAACAAGTTTTGAATAAGATGGATAAGGAAGATGCTTACTCATGGGTCTCACTTGGCAACGTCTGGATGGAGATGCTCTTTAATGGGCAGAAAAAAGACTGACGACCGTGTAAGTACTATACCATCGTACGATTGTTCTTCTGCGATTATAAGAACCCCCAAGCGTTTTTCTCCTTGATTTTCACGTCTTTCCTGAACAGTCATCATTACAGACCCAAGAAGGGAAGTACATGGATAGAGCTCTACAGATGTTTGGTAAAGCGTTGAAAATTGAGCCAAAAAACATCTGGGCAGCAAATGGAATAGGTACGTTTCGTATCGGAACAAATGACTAATTTTCTACTTCTTTTTCGATCAAAAACCGTATGTTTTGGTTTAGGCTGCGTATTAGCATCGAAAGCAATGTGGCAAGATGCCCGTGACATCTTCGCTCAAGTTCGTGAAGCTACCTCGGAATTCGAAGATGTTTGGATGAATATAGCTCATGTATATATCGAACTTGGACAATATGTCCCTGCTTTGCAAATGTGAGTTTATGGCGTTCCTCGCTGTTTTGTTTCATGTTGCACAGAATGCTTTTTTGATCTTTTTGTCATTTTCTTACCATGTTAAAACCATATGCTTATACTGTGGTGTTACAAGGTTCTTTTTGCAACTAGGAAATTAGCTTTTCTTTGAATATTCTTATCTCTAACTCCTAGTATGGTTTTTGTAATATGAAGTAACTGTTGTACGTATGCTGGAGATAGATAGATAGATTTTTCGAAAGTTTGAAAAATTGGAAATAAATGTCTTATCTCTTCGTTCTTTCTTCTATCTTCTATCCACAAACGCTAGGGGTGAGAGGGAGGGGGTAGAGTACGGGGTGAGGGTCGCGCTAAACTCCTACCCGGGGGGGGGGTCCTATTCGGCTTATTTGGGTGGGGTTTAGAGACAAAATTGGGGTTTGGAGCTTAAAGGCAGCGTCCAGGCAAGTCTGGACCTATGGGGATTTTACATGGAAAGTACTTTTGGGGCCTTAACTAAGCCACTACCCAACCGGCAGCTCAAGTAGTGCTCTAACGCCTGAGATATTCTGCTCGAAACCGGACCCCGCGACCGTGTTTCGCATGGATTCATGGCGCAAAGCGTGGATCCTGGCGCGAAACTGCCATGAATCCATGCGAATACGTTCGCGGGGGGTCTGTTTCGAGGGGAATATCTTCGCCATTAGAGCACTACCTGAACTGCTGCTTCGGCAGTGCCTTAGTTAGGGCCCCAAAAATACTTTCCATGTAAAAGCCCCATAGGTCCAGATCTGCCTGGAAGCTGCCTTTAATTAGGGCTAATTACAGTATGCCGCGGCAGACTTGCGGAGCACAAAATCGGGGGGCTCCGGCGCACAAAATCGGGGGCTCCGGAACAGAAAATGGGAGGTATCCGGAGCAGAAAATGGGAGGTATCCGGAGCAGAAAATGGGAGGTATCCGGAGCAGAAAATGGGAGGTATCCGGAGCAGAAATGGGAGGTCTCCGCCGGAGAAATGGGAGGGCTCCGCCGGACAAATGGGAGACCCACCGCTGGGGAAACGCCGCGACCCTGCCATTTCTCCGGCGGAGGGGTCCTATCCGCTGTCTGAGTCCATACGCCACTCCCAGCTCCTGAGCTTGGAGAGGTAAATCATCTGTGCAAATAGACGTAAAGTCGATAAATGCTCATTAAGCACGGCTGCTATGGGTGCTCAGATCGGCGAAATTTGAAACGCAGCTATCGCATGGCATTGATTGGATGGATTAATTGAAGCTATTAAAGAGGAGTTATGCAAAACAAGGGCAAAATTCTTCGAAATCTGTCTAATGGAGTCTTTATTTTGTTGTGTGCTTGAGTGTTTGCCCCTGTCAGACAGCCAAAATGAGGGCCTTGCATATTGGATGCGCGAAGAACGCAATATATGTAATTGCCATCGTAATCCGTGGATCGTCCGTCGTTAGTAGGAAGCTTCGTACCTAATTGAAAAAATTAGCACATAGTGAGCCCATGCGACTACATTGAGTACTAGTGGGTTACGCGAGAACTCTTGGCATTAGAAACTGAATGTACTAGAAATGCTATTATATGGTGCTATGACAAAGCGACCAATATATTTTCTTTCCACTTCCAAGAGCTATAGGTCCAGCCTAGCCACGCTTTGTAGACGTGGTAGAAGTTCCTTTGAGAGTTATTTTACATCTTCAAAAGCTTATTTCAACACAGCTTCTTAGGCAATCTCCTTAACAAGTAAAGCTTTCACTAAAAATTTTTGCAAAAATGATGGTCTAATAAAATTTAGTAGAATGTTCATCTGTTATGTAACATGCGAAACCATTACTTAATCTCAAATAATAGTGAACTTTGCAGAAGAAGAGTTTTATTAGAAATAAATGGTTACAGCTCTATTTGATTTTGCAAACGATCATGTACCCTCTCTGAGTATTATTGAGTCAACTTCTTCTTGATTTTTTCACGATTCTTCCCTCTTTGTATTAGCTGATCCTTAGAGATGGCAATAAAAAATTTTCTTTTACTCTCTATCCCGTACACCAGCCTTCAAGAGTCTACCAGCTGGCACATGGTTTCTTAAACTGAGAGAACGCAATTTTTGAGCGATTCCTACTTTGCTAAATTATGAATAACTTTTCTTTGGTGAATAAAATGGCGAGGAAGTGAAAAAACCTCTGAAATATTCCCGCGGCCATCCTAATAAGCCTAATCAAATTCTTAAGATGGTTGTGGTGTGAATATTGCCACCTCCCTCGCCACACGTCCAGTTTCAAATCCCATTCTCTTCGCCGTCTGAGGGCCATTAAAATGCGACCTCGCAAATGAAAAACTCAACGTGCTCAAACGAGGCGCCTCGTTCATTTGAACGAGTTTTGGATCGTTGAAGGATTTCAATTCTGCATACTTATGAAAATAAACAAGGTTATGTTAGAGTTTGCGAGCGCGTCGAGCAGTAAAAATTGGTATCAACTTGACTTCAATTTATACTAGAAATGAGCAGGATTAGATAGAAGGAGTTCACAGTGAATCTTGAACTATGCAAAAAGTAGGTGAGAATGGTTAGACAAACAATGAAGTGACCACGGGTCAGTAAAGGAGGATGTATCAGAAGATGTGTCAACAAACATTAATGCGGATGAAAAAAAAGAAAAAATTGATAAGCTAGAACTGGTTAGTAAAAAAAAACAATTTCTAAAAAGTAATATTCTAAGAATGTCATGCTAAATACCATAAGAAATAGTACTTACCAAAAGGTCAGCGTCGTCAGTGGTCTGTAACTTTTGTGGCTTTGTGGTGACGCAATAGAATATCCCCAGTAGTCGGTGGTAAATACCTGAGAGAGTAAAATAAAAATTCATATTTCTTGCAAGCTTACCCACGCACAAAGTGCGCTCTTCCATTAGTAGAATAAAAAGTTCACAAGAGCGGAAAATCCCACGACAAACCTGCTTTAGAGGAGTTTTTCCGGTAACTACCGGGTTGTTGATGATGGTGGCCGAGTCATCGAAGACAAACTCGCCATCAAGGGAAGGAATGTAAGGAACAGCAGCTAGTACGGCGATTAGGACCAGTTTGAGCCAATCGTGATTCCTCGGACAAATCTGGCTTTCATGTGCTAGCTCTAAAGAAGAGGTGTTTATGGTTAGCAAAGGATTTCCTGGATAAATATTTCTGATCTCATTTATGCAAAGACATTAAAGAATTTGCTTGCTACCCGCCTGCACCTTCTGTTTCTCGTCTTCGCACTTTCGCTTTGTGACGCTTCATCTTCGAACAACCATAGCAAAAGGACCACCTAAAACATTTCACATAGGGCACATAGATAAGGAGAAAGTTTTGGAGGACTGCGCTTACGATGAATTTTTGGCAGATTACACATGCAAGCTATTCCTTTATGTAGAAAAATTTGTACGCGAACCAGCGAGAATTGGGAATGATCGAGTACATTACGACTGAATAAAAATGCCAGCTATGTAAGTGCAAGCTTTTGTCCAGTGGAGAAGGACAAAAGTCGAGCTCGCTGGCTAAGAATAGCACGGATAGACAAAATCTGTGAGCTTTACGCATAGGTGGTAATCTCATGCGCATAAGTAGTTTGATGAATATTCATAAGGCTAATATGGACTAGTGGCAGGTGAGATGTTGATGAATGGAGAAATCAGGCATATTGATACTTGACAAACCTAAACAGAGAAATCAGGTATTTCGATGCATGACAATGGAAACAAAACATTTATGTGAATAAAGCTAAAAGAAAATGAGTAAGTCAAAGCATCTTTCACAAAAAACTAAGAGGACCAATTATTTTCTCTTCCGTAACTATAGCAAGTCATCCATCAACTGCATTTGGACTGACAAAGTGGTCTTCGGTAAAAATGCTCAATCTTTTAAGCGCCCTCGCCCATCTGTGCAATGGCCCGTGGGAAGGATTAGTGAGAGAAGCGATGCAAATGACCAGCCACACCCCCTTCAGATAACAGTGCTTCTCTCTTAACCGTACGGGGTATTACTCTTTCTTGACGTTTTTAGCACCCAAACGGCTTTAGTGTAGGTGGGTAATGTGTGACCAGCTGACTGCAGAAGACTTCGCCAAAGCAAAGCGGCTATGCTGGCGAGATTGACACATATCCTCCCTTCGTCGGCCATGAATTGCGATGACAAAGAGCAGGAAATGTTCTCTGTGCCGACAAGGGATTGAAATTTTAAGGGTGAACAAGCTGTAAGCGTTTTGTACGTTTGCAGGAACTGAATAGCGAAATTGGAGGATACAGTGGGCGGGGGGGGGGGAGAGAAATGGGGTGGTGAGCATACTTGGGGAAATCCGAATTTTTCGAATATTCGAATATCGAATATATTTGAAAATTAAAAATTTGGAATATTCGAATATCGAATAATATTCGAAAATGGAAATCTCGAATCGAATAGTATTCGAATATCGAATATTATTCGCTTCTCGAATGCTATTCGATTTTCGAATACTGATCGAATAATTTACGTCATTGAGGCGGCCTATGAAAGGCCAAAACATCTAAGAATAAATTGTTTCAAGTAAGTGTTAAGAATGGACACTTTCTTATGTTACAATTTACGATGGAGAAACGGCTTAGTCGTGACGTGAAGAGACTTAGGGACCTGAAAGCTACTCCTGTGACGGTTGTGAAGAGATTTTTCGCACCTGAAAAAAGATCATACACCCTCACTGAGAGTTGCGATTGGATATGCGGTCCCAAAGTATGTAGATCTGTTGGCTGACATCAACTTTGAGTTTTTTTATCCTCGCATGTGTCTCGCTTATGCGGGTTTGCTTTTCTTGTCACATGTCTCCACTGCCCTATCTGAGGCAAGGTCTTCGTCTAAACCATACATCGGCTACATCGACTCGCCGTCTTTTCAGAAGATCTGCTAACTCACGAGAACGAGAGGTGAGTGTACCCATATTGATGGTAGCTAGACGGAGAGTCTGCGATGCCTTGGTTCGTTGCCTGTGATAAACTAGCCGCTTTAGCCGTCCCCGTTCACCTTTCTGGGACGGTGACCCTCGCCCACTATTCGCATTCGTCGGGCTCGAATGCGCGTCGCCTCCGGGGGACGCCTCGAGATACTTTATAAGACATGTCTGCGTTGAAGATGCGACGGGGTGTTTCTCAGCCGGCTTGTCGCATGCCTTCTTTGGAAGGGCAGCCTGACGCTGGTTGCGAGCAGAGTTTTGCCGCAGAAATTAGGCTCAGGGTGGAATCGAACCCGTGACCTTCAGCACCTTCAGCAGGGCAATGTTACGTAGAGCACTAACTACTAGACTAACTTTGCTCAGACATCAACTTAGAGTATGAGACAATTTATTAACCGCTTTTCACTGCTGTAAAATTACCTTGAGATTGAAGCGGGTTTTGAAACATCAAGAGCCATTTCCCTAAGAAAAAAAATCAAAAGGGCCGAAATTCTTGCATTAGACTTCTAAAGACACTCACTTCATGTACATAGAATTTGCACTCAACCGTAATGCTTTTTTCAAAACTTACGCCAGGTTCACCGTAACAAGTGCTTTGCAACGCTATTCAAAAGTGTGATTGCCATTTGAAAAGCTTGAGAACTTATGCGTAGTAAAATCAGCATACGTAAAAACACTGCTGCACAAATTTTAGATCTTTTTTGGAGACAGTTGGTTTATATGCTGGAATTTCCTACCGTGATAACATACAACAAGAAAAACACGGGTGATTCGCTTTCTGCTGTATTTATAAGCTGAAGCCATCTCTACTGGATGTTACCTAGAAAATTGGCAAAAGACCTTGAGTGGTATTAGCGATTAAACGGTGTGTCAAACTTCTAAGATACCCCGTATAGGCTATGCATATCGAATTTTCGAATATTCGTTGCTTATCGAATTTCCGAATAGTCAGTTCTTATCGAATTTCCGAATGTTCGGTGCTCAACGAATAATCGAATATTTGATGGACATCGAATGATCGAATGAATGACCCTCGAATATTCGACTATCGAATAATATTCGAAAGTTAAGATTTTCGAATATTCGGCTATCGAATACATTCGAAAACGGAAAACGAATATTCGACTTTCGAATTTTATTCGAAATCTCAGATTTTCGAATATTCGACTTTTCGAATCATTCGCATTCGAATGATTTATTCGAATGATCGAATAATTATTCGATTCGGTCCCAAGTATAGTGGTGAGAGAAACTGTATGAGTTGGGTAGTGAAATCAGCCAGGATCAGGCTCAAAAAAAAAATTCGCATCCAAACTGGAAACTTCGATTACAATGCAAAACATGATATACATGGCATTTCAGGAGGAAATTCCTTTGAGACAAACAGTTTTCTTAAAGAACATTTTATCGACGTAATTAGACCGGACAGACGGCTTCCGTGAGCCAGACATCCAAAAGTATCTATGCGATTCGTTCAGCACTTTGCTCTCCGCTGCTGAGGAGGTCGATTGTCAAAAAGATGCGTTTGAATGCTAAAGATGGGCGTGCCTGGAGCATTTTCCTCTAGGGAATCTACTCAGAAAACGTTGCTGCCGGATGTCGAGTCGCTGTTGATGTGTTGCCGGAATTGGACGATTTAGTGCAGTTCTGACTTCTGCAGCTACGTACTAAGTAACAGACGAGCTACTAAATAAATGCCGGCTAAAGCTAACTTTATGGAATGTTAGAGAATAGTACAAACACCGGAAAAAAATCTCGATATGTGAATAAGTAAGTAATCGCGGATGTCTAATGCAAATGGGACAAGCAATTGAGTGCTGGTAAGGGTGAATGCAATCGGGTTAGCACTACGAGGCGCGTCCGCAAAACAATTAAGCACGACAGGACTGACAGGGGAGTATACTTGGGGAAATTCGAAATTTTTTTCGAATATTCGAATCTGATATATAAAGCTGAATGTCTGTTTGTATGTCTGTCTGTATGTATGTATGTACGTATGTTCCGAATAGAAAATTCCATTTCTGAACCGATCCGGACCAAACTTGGCACACATACACTACGGGCCCCGGCGGGTGTCATAGGCTACTTTTCGTCATCGATCGATATCGATTTTATCGATTTTTATCGATTTTTTTGCTGAGTTCACCTACGGGGCTGGGAGTTGGCACAGGGGGGTGATCGAGCATGGGGATTCCGAATACAATATTGGTTTTCAGGATTATCGATTACTTTTATCGATTTTATCGATTTTTTTGCAAAGTTTGAGCTACGGGGCTGGGAGTTCGCACAGGGGGGTAATCGAGCATGGGGATTCCGAATACAATATTGGTTTTCGGGATTATCGATTACTTTTATCGATTTTATCGATTTTTTTGCAAAGTTTGAGCTAGGGGGCTGGGAGTTGGCACAGGGGGGTAATCGAGCATGCTGATCATCCCCAAGGGGGTGATCAGCATGCTCGATTACACCCCTGTGCCAAATTCCATCCCCCTAGCTCAAATTTTGCAAAATCGATAAAATCGATAGAAGTAATGGATAATTCCAAAAACTAATATTGTATTCGTATCTGCATGCTCGATTACCCCCCTGTGCAAACTCCCAGCCCCGCAGGTCAAACTTTACAAAAAAATCGATAAAATCGATAAAAGTAATGGACGATCCTGAAAACTAATATTGTGTTCGTAATCAGCATGCTCGATTACCCCCTGTGCAAAATCCCAGCCTCGCATGTCAAAATTTACAAAAAATCGATAAAATCAATAAAAGTAACCGATAATTCTGAAAACTAATATTGTATTCGGAATCCCCATGCTCACTTCCCCCCTGTGCCAACTCCTAGCCCTGTAGGTGAACTCTGCGAAAAAATCGATAAAAATCGGTAAAATCGACATCGATCGATAACGAAAAGTGGACTGTGACACGCGCCGGGGCCCGAAGTGTATGTGTGCCAAGTTTGGTCCGGATACGGCGGAGCCGGGTAAGCCAGCTAGTATCGAATATATTCGAAAATAAAAAATTTCGAATATTCGAATATCGAATAATATTCGGAAATCGAAATTCTCGAATATTCGACTATCGAATATTATCGAAATTGAGAATTTCGAATATTCGACTTTCGAATATTATTCGAAAATTGGAAATTTCGAATATTCGACTATCGAATATTATTCGAAAATGAGAATTTCAAATCGAATAATATTCGAATATCGAATATCATCCGTTATTCGAATTTCGATTATTCGGTTCTCGAATGTTATTCGATTTTCGAATATCATTCGATTTCCGAATACTGATCGAATAATTTACGTCATTGTGACAG